AATTACTTTGATTAAGGTATTCATTCATCTTCCCTTCGAAACAAATCAATTTTGGAGACGAAAAACGGCAAGAATTAAGTTTAACACCTAATAGAATTCTACCGAGTGAGAAATGACAGTAAAATCGACATCAATTGACATTAATTTGATGTCGATTCCATTTGTTATTTCTCACTGGGTGGTAGATATTTAACCAGAAAATTCTTATCCGTCCATATGTAAATTTGTACAAATATATTTTTTTTCAGTCTCATAAACAATATAAACTATACGCCTATTCAGTTTATCGGACTTAAACGCAATCGTAAATTGAAGTTAAAATAATAACATCTTGAATTAGATTGATCATTAATTTTAATAACGATGCTAATAAGCATCTTATAAAACTTATAAATTTAATTTAAATAAAGCGCAATTTATAAAACTAAAAAAATGTATTCGCAAAAATTTACATATCAGTCGAGGGGGTAACCACTCAAAAAATAGATGTACACCTGGACTTCGGACTTCAAGACTTCACTGGACTTCACCGGAATTCATCGGAATTCATGAATTCATCAGACTTCGCTGGACTTCATCAGACTTCATCCGGAATTCATCTGAATTCATCGGAATTCATCGGACTTCACCGGAATTTATCGGACTTTACCGGAATTCATCGGACTTCATCAGAATTCATCAGACTTCATCGGAATTCATGAATTCATCGGACTTCTCTGGACTTCATCAGACTTCACCCGGACTTCATCGGACTTCACCCGGAATTCATCAGACTTCACCGGAATTCATCGGACTTCATCGGAATTCATGAATTCGTCGGACTTCTTTGGACTTCATCAGACTTCACTTAGAATTCATCTGACTTCATCTGAATTTATTGGACTTTATCGAAATTCGTCGGACTTCATCGGAATTCATGAATTCGTCGGACTTTACCAGACTTCATCGGACTTCGTTGGACTTCACCGGACTTCATCGGACTTCTGACAGATTGTACACCGGAATTCAAGAGTGATTACCTCCTCAGTTTGATTTATTTCTTGAAACCTTATTTTGTTATATGTTATTTTTCTAAATATTTTGTATTGCGTCAAAATACTGACTATTTCTTTTTTATTTCGTTATTCAGTTACGTTTAATAATTTTAATTCTACCAATTTTAACAAATAAATATACGAACAAATATGGTATAATTTTAATAAAGAATTTAAAAAAGAGCAACACACACACACACACACAGTATTTAAAGCTAAATGTAGAATCACGCCGAAATCTGATTTCTAAATAAAACTTTGTTATTAAGATACACATGTGGCGATCGAACCTGAATGAAGACAACACCTAGAAGAACAAACCACGAGTATCCACCATCCGGAACCGTCGGTCCGAACTCTGGGTATGAACTGACGATCTCGTCGAGACGAAGTCGCTCGACGAGCGGCATCTTTTCTGTCGAGTTCGACGCAAACGCTCCACAAGTATAATGAACGACGCGATGTTTATGCAAAGAATGTTTAAAACAATACGACATTCGTGATTCGTTAAAGCGACTCCGCGACACTTCCTCGCTTTGAACAAACAGCAATCTTAAGACAGCTTAAAATATATTATACGCAGTATCTAATCTCGACTAAGATGTCGGCGCTCCGATAGCCGTTGATAAGAAGGAAATATCACGTCGTTTTTGCATCTGCCGACGCAGGTGCCTACGCAGATTTCCGAAGCTCTAATAGTAAATACCGTTTAATTGCCGGATATCCGTTGCATCCCTAATAAAAATGCTACAAAAAATTTTGATATTTTAATAATAAGCTTAAGCATTTAATATAATTATTTAGATGGTTCAACATAATTATTCTTTGATGTATATAATATATATACATCTGGCCTAATTTTTATATATTTTAACAAACCGTTCTTTTTGTGTATCCTTAAGAAATAAATTTTAGAGATGTTGTAATAAATAATATTTATTTATAAACGGATTACATATCGTAATGTTAAATTGAATACTAAATAGCATTAATCACAATTCGATATCGCTCGATAAGTAAAAACTTATCGTTTTGCAGATTCTCTCCTCTTTCTACGTTCACACATCCTCGCGAGTATCACCATTCGCTATTGAGGTGTACCGCACCCTCTTGCTGACCGAATCGAGCACTGGTTCAATTTTTTTCTGAAGCATTGTCCTTTGTAGGTAGACTAAAGCGCACACCAGGGCGATCAGCACTATCGAGAGGAAGCAAAGCACCACCGTAGTTCCTCGCCGAGTGGAAACTAGGAGCTTTGGAGCGCAATTCTTCGTTTCGTGGAAGTCGTAGCTTACATTACCTAATAAAGAGAAGAGAGTATAAAAAAGGACCCCATATTAATTGTATTGGACAATTAGGTCCCAGTAAAATAAGTTTATTTTCACATATGATTAATAGCTCATGATCTAGTGAATAGAAGATGTCATAGACATCAAATTCGATAATGGACAATATTTTAGCGTTGCTTTATCAGAGACTTAAAACTTGTGTCTAATATATATCTGACATAGCTTTAATACGTTCTGTAAATCCTTCTAAATGTATGTTTTATTTGATTTTAATTTTACGATAAATATTATTGTATACATAAAATTAAATTAATGCTATATATTAATGCTCTTAATAAAAAAAACCTAGCTGTTAATGTTATGTAGAAGATATAAAATAACGTTAGATAACATTGTACATCATAGTTTTACATCTTTGATAAAAATAACTCAAAATAATAGTTCAATAATTATCTACTATTAAATCTGATAATCACATCTTTCATCAAATTATATAAGCTATAATTATATAATGTGAAAAACCAACTCAATTTATTAGGACCTAATTTTCCATACAATTACTGTAAGATTCTTTCCGTTTTCTTAAAAAAAATTTCGTAATTAATACCCTTATAGCATTGTAAGTTGGCTTTGTTTCGGATGAACACTTTCGTTTTCTTCATCCACTTGATGAACGAATTGAGCTTGCAGGAGCATTCGAAAGGATTGCTAGAAAAATCCACGGTTACGTTTCGATCGTGCTTGGCGAGATTGTCCATGATGTGGAGATCGCGTTCGAGAACTCTTATGAATTTGTTTCGTCGTAAATCCAAGAAGCGCAGATTGTGCAAGCACGACAAATTAAAGTGCAGCGCGTTCAGCTTGTTATCGCCGAGATGAAGATCAAGGAGATTCGGTAGATCACAGAATACATTGACATCTCGAAACTCCGAGATCTCGTTCTGTTCGAGATGAAGTTTTATCAGCTGCGTGAGGTTGCTAGAAAAGATTTTTTGAATAATTAACTCTATTAAAAAAGGAAGAAAAATTATAAATAAAAAAATTATGCAGAAGTTCTACATATAGAAAACTTGTATAGTATAGATACCGCCTTTATAGTTGCCATTATGTATTCTTTTGAGTTTACCTATTTACAAAGATATCGTGGAGCGTTGATGCCAGATTCCTCGGTGGACCGTCTTCGAAGGCGTCGGTCAGATGCAGCTCCAGAAGAGAGATGAAATTGGAGAATACTCTCGGGTGATTCCTTGCGGGATCCAACGAGAGCTCATTGAAGTCCAGTATAAGACGTTCCACGTGCTGCACGTGGTGATAAGCCTTGCCACGTATCTCGCGTATCTTGTTATTCGACATGTCGATCACCCTAAGATACGGCAAGCTGTCCAAGGTGCCGAACACATTCCAGGGCAGCTCCTCTAATTCATTCCCCGTAAAGATGAGTACCTGCGTGTGTATTAATAGTATTAATACGTTGTCGCGTTAATCGTGATGTAATAGAGTCGTCCGCGGACTTTGGTCGCGATTGTCTACGCACTTGCGTGTCATTAGGCAGATGCGCCAGCGGGGATGTATCCTGGAATCCAGTTCCCGTACAATTCACGACGTACTGATTGTGACCGTCGTAGTACGTTCGGAAGCAGCGACAGCGGTTCTTGAAAGCTGGACCACACTCCAGTTTGGATGACTCTGGCGTCTCCAAAGAGTGAAAATTGGGATCCTCCCAGTCATTGATTGATCCAGCGATCGACACCGATATCAAGAAAAATATTAAACTAAAAACGGTCCTCATCGCGATCAATGATTTCGCTAAGAACGTACTCTCGAAAGGATTTCGCCGTTACACTTATGCACGACTGATCAAACGTTGGCCGAGAAGACCTTCACGCGTCGTGCTTCTAATCTATGTACAAAATTATAATATAAATTTATTATTATTATTATTTAATATAATTTATATTAAAATTACAATGCAATTATATTAAAATTTAATAAATTTATACACTCTTACAAAAATACAAACCAAATTAATTATTTAAAGATAATTTATTATTTTATCTCCTTCGTAAAATCTAAAAGAGACAGAGAGGACAATTTTTGATCGTGAATGTTTGCACAACTGTGTTAGTATGGAATATAGCCTTGTCGTCAATGTTTGCTGATATCTAGATAAAATTATCTATATAAAAATCTAGATGAAAAATTCACCTTATATTTATCTAGATTATTACAATTTACTATCTTCATCTGTATCTTAGATAAAAAAAGTGATATTTTTTTAAATATTATCTAGATTAAGGTGTAACGAATTTCTTTATTTATTTTAAACGCAGAAAATTTTAAAAAGTTATAAACAAAATAAACAAATTTATGCAAAGTCAATGCAATCGCAAACTCATTTTAAAGTCGCAAAAGTCGTCTTTCTAATTGTGGACAACAAATAGTACTACAATGTAGAAATTGTTTATTAGACGAAATTTTCAAAAAACTTTTGTTTTAAAAAAATAAAGGTTCATCGATAAAGAGATATATGATTATTTTTTGTTTATAAAAGAATATTTTCTAATATTGCCAAATATAAAGGTTACATGTATATAAAGATGCTGAAGTAACAGGTGAAGAAGTTGTTCGTAAAACATATATAATGAATTAAGATTGGGTTGTTCCATTTTTTGATAAACTTCGGTCCTCTGTCTTACTCTCTTACTCTTAAGATGTATATATACTCTTAAGAGTTCATAGAATTGTTTTATTGTTGATTATACATATGTATATTTTTATAAATAAAAATGTAAATATATTTAAAGATATAAATATGTTTTTTAACATCTTAAATTGTTTCACTATTTAAAAGTTACTTAAAAGCGACATTATCTTAAAATTATCTAGATGAAACGACTTTAATTTCATCTTTTACTAACTAAATTTAAAATAAAATTATCTTTATCTTATCAAAGACATATTAATTTACGTGTGATTTTATTTATATATAGATAATTTTTTAAGCTATCTAAATGCAACTAAGTAGTTGTCGTATTTTTGTCGGCAATTTGAAGCTTCAATATAGCCGAGTCGTATTGACTTGGAAAACATTAAACTGGCTCACCCACGCGACAAATGATATCGAGCGAAGCAGAGAACCGCCTTCCGAGACTCTTTCGGGTATCTTAGAACACGCACGAGTGTGCTTGATCACGCAACGTGACATGGCCGTGGCACGCTTACTTATAGTCAGCGTTGGCATTGAGAGAAAGCGATTGCTTCGAAATTGCAGTTCCGTACGATAATCTTAAGTAAACGGAAGGCGACTCGACCAAATTATTCAGTCGACTGACTCGATCTATCGTAATTTTCAAACAGAGCTTAATAATTTCAGTACACATAATATATGTATAATTTGATGTCTTATTTTTTTAATTAATATGTTTGTTAATTAATTACTAGATCACACCATAGAAAGAAATCTACGTTTAATTTCGTTTTTGCTGATGATGCCTCTTGTCGAAAATGATATCTCGATATCCGGTTACGCATTCTCCGCATCAGACTTCTCGACTTTTGTCAAGAGAGATCAAAAGCGTCATATAGAAAATTTTTACCTGCTGAAAGAAGTACCACTTACCATTCCGTCCGCGTGACGAAAAGAACAGAGAGAAAAAATAAGAGAGGGAGGGAGAGGCTCGGAGGACCCCCGAGTGCGCTCCGTCCCAGGAATGCACCGTCGAGCTATATATCTCGTTTGTTCCGCAGGAGGAAAAGATTCGATCAGAACGCACCTCGTTTCGGTAGGTCGCACCGATATATATATATATATATATATTTATGTATGCGTAATTTGTTTCGAGGTCCTCGAAAAATACGTTTTGTTCACGATCTCAAGTTTCCGGAAGCAGCGAGACGCGCGAGACCCGGTGACACTCGAGAGGAGACTCCGCGAGGGAGAGGCAGGAAGCGCAAGAGCGGCTCCTGTTCTCCACGTTACGACGCGACGGCGACAGACCGCACCACATTGCACGGCCGTGCTTCATCCCGACCGCACCTGTGGTCCCGCTTCCCTCCTGGGCCCCTTTGCGGGCCCCAGGTGCCTATACCGAGCGAGACCTGCCCCACCAATTCTCCTCGAGCGGTCAGTCTCGTTCCCTCCGCTCGCTAGCCGCGTAGCATCTTCCTTCTCTAATATCACCTCCTTCCGATCCTTCCTTCCTCCTTCCTTGGTCGCCGTGGTCGCCCACTTCGCTCACTCCGTTTGCTCCGCTCCGCTTCGCACCGTCGTCATTAACAACTCGCGGTACGCGAGGGCTGGCAATGGGAAACCGCAGTTAGAGACGCTCGTTTCGCTTCGACTGTGCAGAGTACACCTCGAACGGAGTTTAATAAAGACTTCAATTATGTCTATCCCGCTTATTGTCGGAATTAACTCTGGAATTCTTCCATTACGCGCTACTATTTCCTTCTTTTATATTTCACTCTCTTTCTCTCTTTCTCTCTCTTTCTTTTATGAATTTTTATATAATGTTTCAAAACTTCGGTATAATTTTATAACTTTTTAAAAAATTGCTCAAGTTTTTTATATGAGTTATGGAACATTTTTCAGAACTGCTACATCTCTTCTAAAATTTTTTGAATATGTAAACTCTGAAATATTTAAAGATCTCCAAGAGATCTTTTCATTCTATAATTTAAGATAAAATCGGAATAAGTTCAAGAGATTTTTCAGAAAACTGAGATTGCGATTAAAAAATCACCATTTTATTTCTGTATTTTGCTTCTAGAGAACGTTATGTTCAAGAAAAATATCCTCGTGACTTCGTATGATATTATAACCTGATTTTAGTATTTATATTAAAGAAAAACATACAGAAAAAAGAAGATGTAATAAAAACTGAAAATAAAGTCCTTACTTATTATACATTAACCATGACTAATTTTAATTACGTAATAACGATAAAAACTCATTTGTAGGTGTACGAGTATATTTTTATTCATGGAAAACTGCATATACTGAATGCAGAATGGAAATTCGTTCGGGGAATAATTACTTTAATTTCACAATGCACAAAACACAAGTAAATTATAGGTACATATAGTTATCGCATAGCAAGTGAGAAAGGCATGCTTTACTCCTACACGCATCAACACTAATCCTTCTCCGTACAGTACAATTTTACACTTCTAGACACTTATCTCTAATATTTTTATCTTCTCTACGAAACGTCAGACAGCATCTAAAGGTTGTAAAAATGTAATCCACGTTAGAAAATAAACTTGTAAAGTAACGTCAAAATAGAACAGCCCGATCGAGAATGCATGAGAATTAGATGTGTGTATTTTTGTGCAGATGTACAAGTACCATTATGCGGAATCGAAGAAATATGATTTTTAGTCAACATACGTATTGCTATTACACGCTGTTACACGTCTCGTATTTTTACATATACATGCAATAATTATACTTGCATTACAACTTTTATATAACATCGATGACATCATTACTAATTTTATTTTTTTTTAACGGCGGAATATCCCCTGGTAAAAAAAGTTGATAGAGAACGATTGAGAACAATAGGATTTCTATCAATTTGTATTATTTTTTATAAGTTTATATCATTTTCTATTGTCAACCTCGCGAGCATCACGATTGATCGAACATAAATCCTAAATCGTTTTATCGGATTCTATAAAATTTGTACGAGATTTCTATAAGATTTGATTCAAATTAGCAAATTTACGAACCACAGATTCCATATTTAAAACGATAGAATTTTTATATCGTTCTCTATCAACTTTTTTCGGATCGTGTTATGATTTAATATTGAATTTGGTCGATCATGAACTCTATCAGTTCCTAAATATTTTGTTTTACTCATTTAAATTTTCGGTTGTGGTAATTGCCAAGACGCTTAAAAGAATTTCCAAAAAGTTCGATTCCAATGAAAACTTGACCACTACTCGACCATGTGGAATAAAATTTCCACAAAAATCTTAATTAATAAAGCACATTAAGGGTAGCGCATTATATATCGACGTTTAAAAATATTAATTTTTATACGTCATTGCATGCAAATAATATACATATATATATACGCTATATCAATAAAACCAAGAATTACATATAGCACATCAGATATAAATATTCGACGACTTATTTGGATTTAGCAGCGTCATAAAAATATGATAAAACGTTACTTGCAAAAGCAATGCCTTGGTGTAATCATTTGTCGCATTAATGTAATTTATATAAAATTGAACATATTACCATTATGTATGTAAACTCTATAAGTAGTAATAGATTTTTTTGTAAATTGGTGGTAACAATTATTACTATAGTATAGAATCTATAAAAAATTATTATTATATGTATATAAAAAATAATATATAAAATATATCATATATCCGTGAGATAAAGCAAGTAGATCGATAAGTTAACATTAATTGTTTACAGACTAGACACTATGACGACCACTCTGCAGAAAGTTAAAGTACTAGATTGATTGTATCATTAGTAGGTGCATGTTCTTTTTCTATTTTGATTTGTAAGATTAACGCTAAGAAAACGTTAGTCCGTATAAGACACGATAAGTGATATTTATCGTTCAATGTCTTGAGATTCCTATACTCAGATCGTTAAACTCTACATTCCTAATTAAGATTAGTTGCAAGAAAAATGGCTTTTAATCTGTTAATAATAAACTTAAAATACAAAAAGATCAGCAACTTAATGCGAGATATTATAAACGCGCTCGTACAATTATAAATATCAGATGCAACACAAAATATATTTTTTATCATAGAAATAATATTTCTAATACTCATTATGCAATTTAAAATATAATAATTTTCACTTTATATCAACGCAATGCGTTAGTTTGGTTTTCTACTTTGGCCCGAAGAAACCCTAGCTGCGTAGGTACTTTGTGAAAGATGTTAAATGCTTATATACAAAAGTCTTTAAACTCGAAATATATATATATATATTTATATAGAAGAGCATTTGGCAGTAATCAGAAAAATCGAGTGCCCGTATATAAATTCGCATCTAAATTTTTTTATACTTATAAAAAAAAAAGATTCTTTTCCACTATATCGTCGTATAAGATATGCAGATATAAATATAGGCTGCGTTCCAAAATTAATCGCCAGTAATGAAAATTTATAGTGGACGTAACGTAAACTATAAATTTTCAGTGCAGGAAATTTGGAACGCAAAGATAGTCCAATGTAATAGTCAAATTTAATAATCGCCAATGTAAAATACTATTTATAATAATAAAAATCAATAAAATTCAGAATCAGAGTGCATTTAAAATTATTTTTAGGAAGCATTTATCTAATCAGACTTCTTCCTACAGTCCTGCTTATATATATATATATATAATATATACATATATGTATCTTATACAAGTTACACATATGTCTGCTCAAATGGATGCAAACAGTTATGAAACATCTGATTATCTTTTCGATTTAATAGCTTCGATTTGTATAGAGATATAATTTTCCTTCGAAATTTATATATGCATGTCGATAAAAATTTCATACAATTATACATTTTAATTTAATACCTGTCATATCTTTGTACCTCTTTAAGACAGATCAATCAAAAAATTAAATATCACTCTTGCAAATACGAGTCATTTGTGTGCGTATGTAAAAATTGTAAAAATCAATTTTATAAAATACACAAACTCTCTATATGTTAAAAGAGATATACCAAGTTATTTACAAATTGTAATAATAAAATATAATGATGCTATTATATGAGTCAGATCCTGAATTGGTCCCAAAATAACGCATACCAATTTGTATAGAATAATAAAACACAGTACAGGAATTGATTACTTATTAAATGTACTATGTGAAAATAAGATAAACATTTCGCGTTTGTCTTACATGGCCGAACATAAAATACAATTTACCAAGTATCCGCTGGTGTTGGCACAAAAACAAAAGTTTGATTATTTTTGGTATTACGCTGTTATTGTGGGACACCCGGTAGAGAAAAGATTCTTATATGATACTCGCGATGAAATCAGTTTAAGCTTTGTATCTATCTGATGATCCGCCTTTGTAACAGCAAATTAAAGCGAGTATTAGACTAACGATTTCTAGGGCTAAAACCAGTACCGCTGCACCCATAAAGTGATAAGTCTGCGTCTTCAGTGTAGTAACCAACTTTTCCATACATCCCTACAACAAATTTTTTTACTTATACACTACACAATAAACATAAAGCTTGCATAAGATTAAATAGCAAATTAATTAATTAATTAATATAGCAATATAAAAACAAGCATTACCTCACTATAGATCGCAGAGCTCACGACTCCGGCAACTTTCATCTGACGTCCTTGACTGCAGGCGGTGCTATCTGTATCTTTGCAGCAGGATTTTGGTATTCTGAATATGTTTTCGGCGTTTGAAACGCCAAAATTGAGGCGTAATTGAGAAGAATCTTGCTTTCCATATTTGCTGCCGGCCCAATCTTCAGGTCCATTGGCTCCGCAGCATTCAAGAGTGGATTGAATTGTATCCATGATTTGCGTGCGACATTGTATCTCACCGTATTCATCCTACGAAAATAATAGGACATGCTTATTTTCATAACATACAATTATCATATAATAACAACGTTCAAGAATCACTTCGTGGAATTGTTGAATTTAGCGTACAATAGACATCTTATAATTGAAAGAGAAATTACCTTAACAGTGTTTATCACGGAAGATCGCACCAATTCGTCCAAACGATCTTTATGAGCGTAAAGCCATCCTGCGAATGCAATTTGCGCGACGACAATAACAAGCATGATACTGATGAAAGTGGCCAGACAATATCGAAAAAGCTTCAAAGCACTACACCAGCCCAAAATGGAGACGATGAGCATAAGAATTCCAGTGAAGAGCAGAATGTATAAGCCTGCTTCATAGTTGTTTCCTTCCTCGGCGATCGATACTAAATACGTTCTGTCCGATAACATACATGCTACCATGGTAATCACTGTTACCGAGATGATCTGTAAAAGAGTAAAAGAAAGGACACGATTAGCTTTATTCTTTGTTATATATTTCTCGACGAAGGTTCACATTTGTTCATGTATATTCAATTTAAACATAGCTTCGATTATACTGTCCGACAAAATTTGACCTTTTTTTCCTGTGGCGAGCAGGGCTAGTATTTAATAAATTCAAGGTCGCTAGATCCAAATCCGCCAGCGAAAGATGCCTATCATATGTCAATAGATTTTTGTAATAAATCGAGTAATATGAGCCAAAAAGATTTTTTGCCATATTTATCATTTTTTGTGGCCAAACGAAATTTTATTTTTCAATTTCATTAACGCCACTCTAAAGAGCTAATCTTTTGATACAAATTTATTTACTGTCCAGTTTTAATCCATTAATTTGGATCCGCCATTTTACATTTCAGAAAACGTTCATATAACTCGATGAAAAAAAATCGTAAAAAATGAAAATTCCTTTTAAAGGATTAGCTCTTCAGAGTGGTGTTATTGAAATTGAAAAATAAAATTTCGTTTGGCTACAAAAAAATGGCAAAAAACGTAGTTTTTGACTCATATTACTCGATTTGTCTCAAAAATCTGACATGGGCATCTTTCGTTGGCAGATTTGGATTCAGCGATCTTAAATTTGTTAAGAAATACAGTCCTGCTCGCTGCAGATTTTCTTGTTCGACTGTGTTATAATTAATAAATCGACAAAAATTATTGACCAATATAATGCAATACGTAATTAATACAGTGATTTTTAGGTCGGTATTCAAAATCGATTCTTACATTTAAGAGCGTCTTAAATATATAGTCACAAGATATCATAAACCAATCACGAAGCTATATTAACATCTTAAGATATTGAATAACGATTTTAATTGGAGTGTAAAAAACACTCCAAATAATGGTTTATTTAAAAAGGAAATTGACTGGTGAATATTCCTGGTTTAACTATTTTCCCTTCAGTCAAGAGATTACTTCTATTCATAATTTATGCTTGAAATTGTTCGAATGACAAAGTTGCAAAACAGCGAGTCGGTCCACAAAGGAGTTTTCAAGCATTCTCGATGTTGCAGAATGAGAGAGATTAACGAGCCACTTTATGAACCGAACCTGGACGAAGGAGAAGTACGGAACATTTACAATGAAATTGTCTGTCCGCCAGATGTGGCAGCTTCCATTTAAGCGCGCAGATTATCACGGGGTTTCCTGCCATGCCTCTCTTCCAACATTGGACACTAGACGTGGGTTCACGGATTAAAGGGAAGGAGAAAGAAGAAACGTCCTTGGCGTTCAAAGTGCCAACGTTATTCTCGAGCGTTCTGCGAGTTAATCGATCAGCTAGTATAAATAATAGATACGAACAAAAATATATAAGAAAACGTAAAAATTCTAACCGAAAAGAAAATGTCAAAGCTTCTTTGAACACCACAAAACTTCTATTCGAGTATATAAGCATGCCTTTAAAATGGAAAAGGAGGGATTCCTCATATGCCTCCTCTTATTCGTCGCGTGGCGAGAATAGAAGTTCTCGCTATAACGCGAGAGTTGATGTAAGAACACGCGCAACAACTAAAAACGATTCGATGAATCAGAAACGGATTCCATCCCGCTAATATCAGAGTTAATACCGCGATTCATCCAGAGCGCAATCTTGATGATTTCCGACATTCTCTCCATTCTAACACTATTATGCGAATCTATACGCATCTCAGCACGCAAAAGCCCTGAGGGCCACCACACATACTTTTCGTAATCGTAATCGTAATGAGGGTTTTACAATGAGTCGGTAGTTGATAATTGAAAGTCTTAACTAGTCGAAAGCTTATTCTAAAATAGGAGGTTGCAAGCCATAAGTCGCACTGAGAGAAAAATGTTTGGTATTTACAGAGTTGGATAGTAACTAGTTAAAACGTTAAAAGTTAAAAAAAAAAATTAAAAAGTTAGTAACTTTTAACTTAACTTAGTTAATTTTAAATGCATTGATTTTTAACTTAATTTAGTTGCTTTTAAACTTTAATTTATTAACTTTTTTAAATTAAAAATTTTTTTATCTCTCTTAATACTAATATTTTTTTTCTTTTAAAATCAAACATTAGAGAATTAATTTAGAAAAAGTTCAATGATTTTATAATAAGAGATCTATAATAAGAGTTACACCATATGGCATTTTATTGACTCGCTAGGTTTTATCAATTCCCGCTTATATTTAAATCACACTAATTTTAGGTATCATAAATTTTAGGTATCATAGGTTATATTTCAGTAACATAAATATGAAATGAGCCTTAGATGAAGAATTGTTGTTGAACAATATGCAGATCCACCCATTTTCTAAATTTTTACGTATATTTTTTGTAACAAATATCTAGTCGATGTAGTCGTAAACATGCATGAGCAGTCGTTTCAGAAGTTAAAGAAAGTTAGATACAGGTTAAAGAAAGAGAAATAACGCAAACATATACCCTTCTCTCTCGCAAGATTTTTTTCTAAAACGCCTTATATGGTGTGACTCTTATTATGTATAAGTAACTTACTTGTGACTATAAAATTAAATTTACCTAATAATCTATATTTGTAAGTGTTATTTAAAATAATCTCATTTTAAGAAAAATTAGGAAATTCTGATCTCAAAAATATTTTTTTTCAAAATTAACTTTTTTTTAAACTTAAGTTCGATTTTTACTTAACTTTTATTAAGTTAATTCTTTATTTCTTCAACTTTTAACTTAATTTTATTAATTTTATAAGCCATTAACTTTAACTTAATTTAGTTTTTTTTTTTTAAACATTAACTTACCCAACCCTGGGTATTTGTAACCATAATTACATATTACTATAATTATAATTACTACTGTTATAATAATAACAGTAACTATGTATATAGTTGGCAACCTAAAATAACTATAATTATAATTATTTTAGGTTGCCAACTATATACATTTGTTGCTAGAACTATATACATAGTTACTGTTATTATTATTATTACAGCAGTAATAATCATAATTATAGTAATATATAATTATAGTTACAAATATAAAATATTTTTCTCTCAAAATGCGTAAGAAATTAACCAATCATAGTCGATTATTTTTGTCATATTCAACTGTGATTGGCCAGTTTTTTACGGTTTACAACTTACAATTCTATTGTGGAACAGGCTTCAGGGTAGAACCTTAGTCGTACATACAAGTTGGCTATTGGCCAACTTCATCGATTAAGACTTAGAACCGCTTAAGACTTTCGACTATCGACTCAATAACTGCATTCAGCAGAACGTTTATTTTGCAACTGTGGGAAGTTTTCTTTACGCTGGTTGAATTATTTTTTCAGATTTAGATGAATGGTCCTATCTCTGCAGACAATCACAAAACTGTTACAAAACTGTTGTGTTCTACTGAACGCAGCCATTGTAGAATCTCGGTAAGACGTAATGTAAAAATTAGTCAATAAAAACTGAAAATTCTTAATAATTTTTTACTGTGATTGACTAATTCTTAGAGTATGTGTTACGATTATTGTTATAGAAAATGTGTGCGACAGCCTTGACAAAATTAACCTAAATAACATTAAATATTCGTAAAATGTTCGATTTATATTTCAAATGTTCCAGAACAGTAAAAGAATTTTTATAGAATGTTCAAATGTTAGTGAAACGTTCAGAATATTATAAATATTTCTTGTATGTCAATATCTATATACAATTGAAATCAATCACCTGCGAGTAATACGCATCCCCGTTGACAGATGGACATGGTGAAGTATTTCTCGTAAACAAAAACCATTTAGAATGGAATAAAAGGTACAGCATTTCATTCGTGAAGATTAATCCCAAAATTTAACTCCAAAGTAAAAGTAAATAAAATATTTATTGACAGTACAATTTCGTTTAGTTCTGTTTAAAAATTAATTTAAGGAGGACCTAGTATTCTTGAAAGAATTATAATTGTTAAAAATATATGTGTGGTAATATCCTATGAAAACATATAACGGTATAAATGGAATATTTTCGATCATTTGAATATTGTTTCTACATTCTATAAATATTTCGGAATATACAAGAATTTTCTTGAAATGTTACTTTAAGATTTTATGAATATTTTATAAATATTTTTCAGAAACATTGAACGTTAACTGTTGAAAAACAGCTTAAATCTGTTAAGAATAGATCTTACACAATATCTGCCATCATAAATTTTGCCGGCAAAACACCGGCAGAAATGTAACAAAATCTATCAACAGAATGGCGAATGGATTACAGTAACCAAGAGAAATCTATCTTTCATAATCGTTTAAATTATGATACATTTGAACATTCTGTTTAAAATTCTATTTAAAATTCTGTTAAAATAACGGATTTTAGTCGATTTTTGCCGATAATAATCTGCCATTAGAATACATCTACAAGTTCTGCCGAACAAAACATGAGCTTAATGCGCAAATAAATGATATTGGATTTGTTACAATATCTGAATAAATATGCTACCAATTTGTTGACACATTATTAGCGAGCAGTTTGCTTACTGGGACGTTAAGTAGCAGATTGAAGCGGAAGAACGCGGCAGATTGGCATCAGCTGCGTCCACATTAAACTCGTATTCTGTCAACAGAATTACTTAATGTCGACGCAATAGACTACAGCAGATTCTGTCATTTCCAACATCAATTATAAAATATTGAAATGTCATAAAATATTAACATTGGATAATCAAATTATTAGAACCGGCATAAATTAACGATTTTACATTGAAGTTACAATTAATTTTTTAATAAAAAATATAGTGATACTGTGTTATTATTTTTTTTATGAAATATTGACATTTACAAATTTTAAATCTACTTAATCTACTACTATAAATAACATTATCTCTCAGATATATGCTATTTCAAACCCATCGAGAATCTTTATGAATTGATAAAAAGGAAAATTTCCAAGGAATATATCACCAACAAATGTCAATTAATCGTGGGTTTGATTAGGGAGGATCCCGTTTGTGTGTGCCTAC